AATGGGTGGTGGGGCGGCTGGCTGAGGGGGAGGCTCAAGAGGAAGAAGGGGAAGAGCCAAGTATGCAGACGCAGACTGGCAGAAGAATGCTGAAATTGAAGAAGCTCTGCAATGAATGCTTGCATAACACAACCCAGTGGTGGTGTGTGTGGGGAGTGAGTGTGAATTGTTGATTTTAATTTTTTTTGTTGTTGTTGCAGCTTCTTTTCCTTCGTCTGTTATCAACGGTTATTGTTAGCAGCTTCTGGTGACAATTGGTCTTAAAACAGGGTATATTGCTTTTGTCTTAAAGATTTACTCCCATTTAATTATTTCCTTTATTTCCGACACCTTCGGCCTTATTTTAATAGTTACTTAAAAAAAATTGTGCAACAGCTATTACCTAAAAAAAAAACATTAAATTTTAATGGCCAAATAAAATGAGTAAACATACAAAAATCATGTTCAATTTGTTAATAGCATTAGTTTATTTCCTTTACAAGAGACACAATCATTGTTAGACAGATAAGTTTAAGGCCATAAACAAAAATAAGTGTGAAGATATTTTAGTTTTGGTTTAGGCATAAAAATGTTAAGGATAACGTTAGCCTAGTGATAGAATGGTTAAATGACAGGAAATAGCGCTCTAAGGCTATAATATATTTTATTTTATTTTATATATCTAAAAAAAAACTATTTCTAAAGAGCATTCAATTACCATATTGTATAAAATTATCGGTTGCAACGCCTGATGTTATTGCATTGTCTGCCGCAATGTCTCCGTGGGGCAGACAATTTCTCCGGTTTTTTGCCACCGACTCCGTCGTGGTCTGTGACTTGGGTCTTGGTCTGGGACGTTCCACAAGATGCCATCCAGAAAGAGAGAGGAGCAGCACATGGGCATGTCATTTGTTGGCTTCGTCGAGCATCTTTGGCATTTCTCAAATTTACTTTTGTGTGTGATTCCCCGTCGTGCCGCTCTCTATGGTATTTCTCTACAATTCCGTATCGCGATTGTGTTCCTCATTTTACTTTTTGCCGCAGATTTATAATTATGCATTTGTTTTTCAAGCCTTACAATATTGTTGTCACATTACGTATACGCAGGGTTGGCCCACAAAGAACTCACAAATTCAACTCACGTAGGCCATAGACTAGACTAGACCCTTAAAGATAAATAATTCCTCAAATAATTGAATGAAAATAGTAGAGGAAACCCCTATTACGCGGTCGAAAAACTATAAATTATTTGAACGCTTTAAGTTATCTTGGCATTTTCCATTTCTCCTCATTATTTGGGCAAAAACGCGCCTGTCAAAATTGAATAGGGAAAAGCCGAGCTCGTTGGCCAAAGAAAAGATATAAACTAAACAAAAGCCAGAAACAAACACAATGGCAGTTGGTCTATTAGCAGGGAGCTCGGATCGGATCGGAGTGGTGTGGAGTGGAGAGCTGCTGCCCCATGCCGCACCGCATAATGAAAGCGAAAATTTAAATTTTTGATACAATTTGCAATTTTTGCAGCGCCGCTTTTTCCTCCTACTCTCTATACTCTAACTCCTCCATCATTCAACGATCTCCCAGTTGCTAGTTGCAAGTCGCCAGTTTTCAGTTGCGAGTTGCTAGTTGCCAGTTGCTAGTTGCCACAAGCGGCGCAACAGTCGACAAGTCGACAAAGAAAACAATTCATCATGTTGTACATGGAGGAACCTTTTGGTTTTCCTCCTCGCGGAGCTCGGCTTCAATTTATGCGGCGCTTAAATCGATTGCTTTGCCACATTGCGGCAATTGGAGCTGCTCTGCTCCCCCATAATCCCCCTTTCTATAAAGCCCCGACAGTGCGGAGTCGTTGTCGTTGAACCGTAAAACTGAAATATGAAGCGGAATCGGGGATCGGGGTCCGCCGCCAGTGGGTGATGCTTTGCGGGTGGATCGGATCTTTTCGAACTCCGATTGGATCGAGGAGAGCCTGGCCTGGTCTGGCCCGGCCTGGCCTGGCCTGGCATCGCGTTGAGTGACCACGGACCGCGAATCGCAAGCCACGAACCGCGGAACAGGCTCTTGCTTCATTAAGCTATTCATCCATCCATCCATCCAGCGATCCATTCAGTTAGCCATCCAGCGATCCACTCAAAGCGATCGTGTTGTTTTATTTCGCTCTTAAATTTGCGCTAACTAGATGTCGCAATTGAAAGTAAGCTGTCAAATATTGTCGGCGGGGGTGTACATTAGAAACGACAGCGGCACAGAGCCTATAATGAGGAAAAGCCTTTCCAGATGCCTGCTCGCCTGAGGCGGCTAAAAATGAATCAAAAATAACAACAACTGATACACGATACAAAACTATATTTAAACTAAAACTAAACTAAAAGTTAAAAATAGTTGGGAGATTCCTTAATTTAAATAGTCATATCGTAGTCAAAAGCCATCAGATTCTTAAGCGGAATACTGTATATGATTTGTAGATTGATTCTTTAACAATCTGCATTAAAATCTGGAAGAAAATTATTTTTTCGATTTTTTGTCAAATTTTCTAGGGGGTCCCCTTCAAAAAATGTCGAAATGCGTGAAATGCCCCTATGAGCCACTTCGAAGGCTATATCTCGGCCAATAGTTATCCGATTCTTATGCGGGATACCTTAAACGATTTGTAGGTCAATCATAACCATAACCGCATAACCCAATAAAGAATATAGTTTTTTAATCAAGGCTCTTATTTATCAAAGTTCACGATTTCAAAATGTTTAAAATATGAAAGCACCCTCAAAAATTTGGTTACCTCGAATTATTTTTCATAAAAAAGCGAAAATCAAAGTTCAAGATCAGCAAAAGAGAATGTTTTATAAAACGTAATAGATTTGTTTTCGCGTAATTCTGAAAATGCTTAATGACGATCCTCCACTGAAGTTCAAGGTAAACCGTCAAGGACTTGTTCAACTCGATGTTGACTTCTATTGTTTTTCGGCATTCGCTAAGAGTCTCTCAAGCGAAAAAGACTCTTTACACTCCAGTGTGGTTATGTGCAAATTTAATTACTGAATCAGACCTAAAAGCCTTCAAAAAGTATACACATGCCTGCGGCTAGACAGATTCAATAAAAAAACAAAAAACCGAATAAACAGAACCAGGAACCAGGAAAGAAAGGTGGCTACAATGGGTTGTATATGATTCAGGTTTTCTTGTTATAGAAGTTGTAAAATTTTATGTGACAAAACTCTTGCAAATTTCTAACCCACCTGAACTGGTTGAAAATAAAAAAAAAGTACCAGCCTCGGGCCAAGTGTCAGAACAAGATAAATCCGTCGGATTTGACCAACCGCAGCTGTTTCTTAGAAGCTTATGCTACTTCGGCTGCCCCGGCTGCTGGCTATAATTGTTAATAATAATTTATGCAAATTTTTTTAGCACCTTGTGAGCTTGGGACCCAAGCTGGGTTTCACCAATTCCTAATGTTTGTGATTTGTAAGACAAACAAAAGGCGGAAAGCGGGGCCCGAAGAGCTATGTAGCTGCTGGCGAATTCTCAATTTTTCGGAATGTGGCCAGAAGAAACGTGTTTTCTAACAAAGGCCGACGCTTAATGGGTCGACAAATACAAGCCGCAATAAATAAATAATAAAAAGAAAATGCCCAAAAGGGACAGCTCCGTGTGCGACACTTGATCTGTGGTGGGGGAATACGAATGGGAATCGGCATGTTGTCTGGCCCGTAGAGTTCGTTTGTAGATTTGGTTATATGTGGGCGATGATCTCACCGCCAGAGCCATTTAATTGGCCTCAACCGAATCTCACTTTTGGCCCTCTAGTCGGTGCTTCTCGAGTCGGTCTTCCCCACCCCCCCCCAAAAAACTTTCTGTTATGGATGTGGCGCGCGCTCTGACCGAATTCGGAAGATGAATGTGCCACAAATGCTACGGGAAAACAAAAATAAAAACAACAAAAGCACAAAATTAAAATAAATCTCAGCGGGTGAAACGACATAGCTTGTCGGGGCCATAAAAATCGAGTTATCTCGTAATTTGGTTAAATCGTAATTGTTTATGCAAATTCCGACTGACTGACGCACAGATAAAGACTCAAAATTCGAATGCAGGGACAGTCACACAAAATGCATCGCATTTCCACTTAATGCATATGGACAGTAGATGCGGAAAGCCAACGAATTTGCATTAGAATTGTGATTGACAGTCGGCGCACATGGCGTATACGCAATTATGGCAGTGACTGTTGCGACATTTCCTACATTTCCAACAGTATTTGCATTCGCTCCATTTTCAGTACAAAGGAAGCCTTCTAGAATTTGTTAGAAGACGGGTACATTAGCCCAAATCAAATCAGGGCTAGATGGCTTTTAATTAACCCATTTTTAGTCATTTGCACATCCGGCAATTGGGACAGGAAATGATTCCGCAGCGCCACTGCCAGCCAAGATTGAAAATACCAGCCAGAAATGGTCAAAAATGTCGAGAGTTAATGCAAAAATATTAAGTCGAAATGTAAATACAGTGCTAGGTCCGAAATGTGTGATTTTTTTAAATTTTATTAATATTATAAAAAAATATATTTCATTCTAGTTAATAACTTGTAGAACATGTATCTATTATATGACTATCTATATATTATCTATCTTTTATCTATGATCTATAATGTGGAAGGAATAACTATCCTAAGCATCTTCTTGCTGCCAGTAAGCCCCATTTTCAAACTTCTCAAACAAATCTCCTTCTCAAAAAATTCTAATAATCGAGGGTCTACTGTCTGGCTAACTCAAAAAAACAGTTGCCAAACATGGCTTACAGTTAACGATAATGATACGACGGCGATGATGTTATTAGGAGCAGAGCCCGTTTGTCTCTCAGACTGTCTGACGACAAGATAGCGATCTCAGACCGCCTAACTCCAGTTTATGATTTTATGTGTGCTTTATATACATATATATTTTTTTTTTGGTACACCTAATTGATTTAATAATCAAGGTTTTAAAGCCGCTTCATCGTTTTTGTTGTTTTTTTTGTCGTTTCAGGTCCTACTTCGGCCGACCCATCACCCCGTCGCAGCGGCCGCCCCAAAAGTTCGCGAGTGGAGACTCTCGCTGCTGCGAAAATGCTGCCAAATGCCACTTGCGCAGGTCTCTTGTGAGAGGCACGGAGAACCCGAGAGAGTGGGGGAGAGAGAGCGTTTCGGCCGCGTTTGGAGTCAGCCGACTGGCGCCGCGAATGCGAGCGCTCAGATTGTTTGAGTTGCTCGGGCGGTTCGGTTCTCCAGCGGATAACAACGGGCACATGGTGCGGATGAGTGATTTCTCGTGTGTGATTGTGAGTGAATTGTTGCGCATGCGCCGCGTCGGTCGCGTCGATTTCGTTGATTTCGCTGATTTTGTTGATTTCGAGATGCTGCCACTGCCGATGATTTAATGCTAAAGTTAATGTGCGGCTGAAAAGTTCAAGCAAGCCCAATAAAAAAAAAGGCCACAAAGTCCGACACAAAAAGTGTGCAAAAATAAAATGTAGTCGACAGATAAGAAAAAAAAAAGAAATAATTCACAAAAAAACCACAACAACAACAACAGCAAACAGTTCAATGCGAATACGGGTTTTGTTCTTATCGCGTTCTTCCCGTCTTTACTCTTTTTTTTGGTTTTCGTTGACCAGTGTTGGCTTTTGACCATTAAAAGTGACGCTCTCGCTATGTAATGAACCTTTGAGAAGCCTCACCGCACACCCCAACACACAGACACACACACCACTACACTTATACACTCGCAAGACGAGGAGGTGGAAGAACACCAGCAGATCCTTAAGCCTCGAATCTTTTCTTGGGACTTTGCGTTATTTTTAGACGATAAAAAAAAATCTGGCAAAGCCCAGGCACAGGAACAACGACCGAAAGGCACACCAACAGCAACAACACCAGCAAAATAAAAACGAAGACTGCCACGAAATGGGCACCAAGTCACCCGGTGGTCCACAGCGCTGCCGTCTGATCTTGCAGCGCTGCCTCGCGATTCAGCTGACCAAGCCCGGCCACACGCCCGAGGACTTTTGGATGTACGACTCGGGATATATGATATTTCAGGTGAGTTTTCGATTGTGTTACAGAGGGAGAAAAAAAAAGAGGAACTATTTGTGGATTATATGAAGTTTTCTAAGAAATGAGATTATTTTTGATACTAAATATCACTTCATCTCGTTTAAAAGGTATATCATTTATTAATATCGGATTCATATAGCCGATTTACGAATCCTCCCCATCCGTATGCGGTTCGTCCCCTATTTAAACGGCCCTCTAAAGTAATAATATTCGTATTATGTGAATAAAATGTTTTAAAATAAAAAATACATACTGTTGAGAACGTCTCCGAACAATTCTATAGAGCTTTAATGTTTACATTTTTAAAGAAATGTGTGTTTTTAATATTTTTAATAAAAAGACAATTTTTTAAAAGTTTTTATAGAAAGAGAAAAATTTCCAAGCTGATTTTGAAGCTAAAACATACGAGTTTAAAAACCTTTCTTTAAAAGAACCATAACTATAGAATTTATAGAATAGAATAGAAATAGAATACCTATAGAACAGAATTATAGACCTATAGAAAAAGAATTTCTAGCCTTTTAAAAATAATACTTTTTAAGTTCTATACCTTTTTCTTGCTGTGTGACCCCCGCTTCTGCTTTTAATGTGCAAGGAAACTGGTTTGCAAACTGGTTGTCCAGTTTGAACTGCAAAAAGTGCGTGAGTTTCCAGTAGAAGCACACTCCCAGAAGGCAAGACCGAGAAAGCAAACGAGATAGCAGGCCAGAAAGAGACAGGCGAAGAGGTGACGATTGGGTACAACCGCCCGCTCAAGGTCGCTGGGGTGGCTCGAATGGGTTGGCTGGGTTAACTCCTTTATTCGCGGCCAATTCCCATGAAAATAAATGACTCGGAACGGAACGAGAAACGAAACGAATCCCCCCACAGGTTGAACTGGAGCTCCGTTCTAAGGCGTCATCTAGACTAGACCCAGACTACTGGCAACAAACGGTTGCACTTGCAACATTTGCAACCGTTTGGCTTTGCAACTTTTGGCCCCGGCTTTCGTGTATTTTCTTTATTATTCCGACTTTGGTTATTGATGACATTCAAAGAGAAGCCCAAGAGTCTCTAAAGTTTTTGGCCAGGAAGTTGTTTCTGGCCCCTAGATAATGCCTGAAAAATACTAATGGGTTCATGGAACCCTCGGCACTAAATCGAATCCAATCGTTTTCTCACATTTTTAAACTCGTTTGGTAGCAGCAAAAATTTAAATTTTAAATAAAGTCTCAGTCCTTTTGTTGCCGCTGATGCTTCCGATGTTTTGAGATTTTTGTCGCTTTTTCGGTTGATGATTTTTATTGTTGTTCTGGCCATTGTTTGTTGCACAAATTACAGGCCAACATGACGTCATTCCGGCCATACAAGTTCAAGTTTGAAGTGTTAATTGAAATAGTGGCACATGATGAGCTAAAGCTAAATGCTAATGGCTTTAGTCGGTTGATACCTATTAGCTGAGTTTTGTTAAAATCATTAATAAAAAATGATGAAAAATACTTCATAATTTCTGTTATGAAAGAAGTTTAAGCTTGCTAGGCAATCTATATCCCACTTTCTTATAAATAGTACCCCTAAATGGGTATATCTATTTATATTTTAAGGCAACACCTCACTGCGACATACAAAATAACTTAATTTACTCACAATGCTGGCTAATTTTAATTTAATTGCGAACCTGCCTGCCTGCAAAGGTAGTGATACTTCAAAAGGTAGAGCCGCAATTTTTATTTTAGTTTTTCAGTTGAATGTCTGTTGTTCTCGTTTGCGTTGTGTTGTTTTTTATGTTTTTTTGTCTTTTTGCAATTCAGTTTGCATTTTGCATACTAAAAAGTGTCGCATAAACATTCCCTTGGATGAGTTACAGCGACAATCGCCGGGCATTCAGTTTTTAGCGCTTTTTTTTACTGAAGCTCTCGGATGTGCTGTTCGAGCTGGGCTAATTAATATTACGTGCCACATTTAGGCCACAGATAAGAGCCAAGGCGTGCATGGCCGAAAAGCATTTTAGGGCAGCTGGAGAAAAGTGCGTGAAAATATATAGATAGAGATTCGAGAACATGAATGGGGAAATGCTAAATGCTGACTGTCGACTGATCGACTGAATGGAAAGTCGAAAGAATTCCACTCGCCGTGGATTTTATCATAAATTTCCCCAACCAGTGAAGTGTGAATTATGTAGATTGGCGCTACGAGGGAGGAAAAGGGTAGGGTCTTCCCTAGGGCGGGTCTTCTTCGGGTCTTCGAAGCCATAGAGCATATCGAATGAGCAAGAGTTTCCGGTGTGGTTGCCCAAGTTTTAGGGCGTGCCATAATTTAAAAACAACTTTTATAACTCTGAGAAGGTTAAAGAATAACAATGGATATATAAATTGTATTATTACCAAATGAGCCTATGAAAAAGATATAACTGGATGGGGAAAAAAATGGCTTTAATTTGGCAAACAAAAATTCATCACTAGTTTCCTTAATTAAGACATAATTTTTAAGGATCTTTGCAGGCATGCCCGGCAGGCTGTTATTTTTATGGAAACCTATACTCTCAGTACTTTCCTAAAAACTATATAAAGGCAGACAATGAATATAATTAAGCCGGGCTTGAAAACATACTTCTATAAATATAACAAACCGACAAAAGCCATAAAGTTTCTCCTATTTAAGCGTTCGGCAAGTTGGGCCAGTCGTTGCCATTTCCCAGTAAAGCTCTAAATGTCAGTTCGGCTGGGGTGGAGGTGCTGATTTAAGGCCCCAATGGCCGACTCAATTTCCAGGCATTTAAAATCTGTTTTTATTATTTGCGCAAATTTGTCAGGCGTGCGGCATGTCGGCTTCGTTGAGTTTCAAGTAAATAAAAACTAAAACCAAAGCCTGGAAATAAAAAAAACAGAAAAAATTAACAAACGAACAAACAACTTTGACTTGAAACTCTGATCTCCGGCCAGCCCCGGGGCTGATCTCTGAACTGTTTTGCTATTTTCTGTGTTTTCTGTTCAGTGTTTGGTGTTTAGTGTCTGGCTGCACGCAAATGACTTCACCTAAATCAACTTGTTTCAGTTTCAGTTTCCAGCTCCAGCTCCAGTCTATAGCTTTAAGCTTTTAGCTGCAGAGCCAAATTAATAAGCCTGCAACAAGTTTTGAAATAGCTCAACGGATGCGAACTGATTGCGTCATGTCTAGAGCGCGGGAGTTTTCTGCCAGCCTGAGAACTGGAGAATTGCTACCCGGCTCTATAAAAAAAACTGTATACCATAAAAACTTTTAAAAAATATAACTAAACTGGCTCTGAAAAAAAATATCAAGAGGAAATGGAAAGTTTAACGTCAGCCTGGGAACGGAATTGTTTGATCCGACTTGGTAGAATGAAGGTAAACTGGAAGGTGACTGGCTGAGAAGCTCAACAATTGAAATGAAAGGAAAGGAAGGTTGAGATGACACACAATGCAATATCCTTCGCAGGTTTATTAAAGTCATAAATCATATTTACATGAGACTCTGAGATCATAGGGGTTTTAAGAAAGCATTTGGTATATACTATACTATATATTATATGTAAAAATTAGTCATTTTAAGAATGAATTATTAGTAAAGTGCCTTTAAATGTTTTGTTTTTATGTTTCTCTTTTCAAATCTGCAATAAAGATACTGTCACATTTTGAAATAAATTGTCTGTTTCTATAATTTATACAAAATATAAAAGTCATATTAACACAACACCTTTTAAGTACAACACTTAATCAACTTTAAATGTTAATATTTAGTATACCCGTGGGTTCTGTTTAGTATTTTTTGAGTAACTCCTCAAACCAAACACGTTTGAAGACTAAATCCTTAATTAATAAAGAACGGTTTTTTTTAAAGAATTAAATCAAAATGACATGCTTTAAAATCAATACTTTCTTAAGAAACAGTTTCTGATTAAAATCCAGTTGTTTTCTTACTTCAAAGTGGATAGTAAGTAAGACCCAGGCAGAAAGTATCACCGGTTAGTATCCATGGCCACCACAAGACATATGGCTCCGGAACTCTGGAGTTTCTTCAAATACAATTTCATGCAATCATTGGAGGAGTGGGGAGTCAGCAAGTCAGGCCAAGTAAATTGATTTATCGGCACGCGGCACTCACAAACGGGGAAAAGAAAAGATAGAAAAAAGCTATTTGAATTGTTGTTAACCCCTCGCCGGCCTTACATCTTCAATTGGTCTGATTGGATTTAATGAAATTGAATCGATGGTGCAACCGTTTAAGCGCAAATTTACTTTTTGTCGTCGTTTAATTGGTTGGCGTGCGCCGCCTTATGATTGCTTTTCATTAATTTCGATTGCAATCAACGCCGCCGACTAATTTGATTGACAAACACTGAACACTGACATCTGGTCGGGACTATCATTTATTGGCTGCTCTTTGCTGCCCCAGCTACTCACCTGTTCCACCTTGCCTCGTGTTGCATAATTCCCCTGGACAAGGTCGGTGTCCAGTGGCAGCCAACACAACTTCAGTTCAAGTTGAAGCTCTCGTTTCTCCTTTATTTATTTGTTTTCGGTCACGCCAGGCGACTGAGATTGCAGCACAAGCCGAAAGCCGAAAAAATCCAAAATAACACAAAACCAGCAACACATGGGGCCACGTACTTGTAGTTCAATCTTTTTTTTATATTTTTGTTTTGTGTCAGTGGGATGTTGTTTATTGGAGAAGCCCATCAGCGCATGGGGTGTCGGGGAAACAACAAACCAATAAATTTTTGACCTACGAAATGTTGTTTCTTTATGAAATCATAAATATAAAACACAACACTCCATCTTCACATACTTATAGTACTATAAGTATGGTTCTATCATTATCATTACCTTAATCTATTTTCTATATTAGTTTTTCTTCATTAATCAGGACTCAAGCCCATGACTGTACATTTCCGCGTGAAAATTGAATTTCTCAAGCCATTACATCTGTAACTCACAAACTTAAATTGAATTTTGCTCGAAAAGTAATTACCCATAATTACACTGAGGCAAATTAAGCTGTAGTCTAAGGTGGCAATTAAAAGTTGGCTTGAAGCAGCAACCTCTATAGCCCCCCAGTTGCAATCCGATTCTCATTAGTAACTTTTGACAGGCAGTTTAACGAAAATAGTATCTTCTAGAGATCCAAGTACTATATATGTAGTATATACCCCCCTATTGCATGATTTGCCAGATTGATTGAATGACGAGCTAGGCATTATCTAGGTGTATCTATAAGTTGCGTGCCAAATGCCAGGCCAGCTCATACAGATACGGATAACTAGCTGCTAGGTCGGATGAATGACAGGCACCGTACAAAGCCAAAGTACAAAGGCCCCAAATAGGCCCCAGACATTTCAGCAAGTGCCAGTGAAGCTTCAACGCCAAAATACAAAAGCCAACAGCCAAAACAAAAAAGACATCAACAAATCAAGCCAGAACAGGGTGCAGGTGCAGGTTTAAAATAAAAAACTGAAAAGAGAACTGACTGCAACAGACTTGATTGTTCCCACAGTTCCCAGACACCGATTCCCCCCAAATAGACTTTTCACACTTTGCTTTAAAGTGGAGGTGCTGATTGCTACAGCTTGATAGTTTTCCATATATTTGTATTGAAATCCAAACAAATAAATAGTGTTTGTGGAGCCAGGGCGCCGTTCTTGTTTATATCTCAAGTAGAACAGGTTATCTTGCTTTTCTTTCATAAAACTCTTAAAATATGAGCTGTTTTTCCCCAGAACGGAAGTAAATCTATTTGATAAACGATTATCTTGTGGTCTGAAGCATTTAACATATTTTTCCCCCGGAGTTCCTTTTACTTTTTGAAAAGTTTTAGAAGCAATTGCACAACTTTTTCCTATTCAGAGTATGAGCAAGTTTTAAGCAGAAAGTTTCTCAAAATATTTTTCATTATTAATTGCAACAAAAATAGCGACCGCAATGGGCTGCCAAAAAGTTGATATAGTTGCAGATGCGATGCCATGTTAGATATCCAGGGCAGAGGACATCCAAGCCCTGGGATCTGGCAGTCAGGACTTTTGCCAACATCTGCCGGCCATATCTTGTCGGTTGTTTTTATATGCCTGGCCCTTAGGAAAAACTAATAAAACAAATCGCATGTTTAGCCAAGAGTAAGTACTAGATTTCTGGTCATTGAACCTGGCATCCTGGCAACCCTCGATAGTGGCTATCCGCCCACCCGGCACTCAACCCCCTTTGGCCAAATCCAATTGGAATTTTAAGTGCAGTACAAATCGAGTCAGTCAGCCGCACATCTTATTCCGTTTCCTTTCCGAGGGGGAGGTGGACATGGGCGTTGCCTCGACCCTGGCCATGCAATTTGTATCCTTATCAGGACTAGCCGCATTGATTGGAACGCTGTACGTCCAGTATTTATGCTCAAAGGCGCTTCCGACAGGCGCTAAGTTTATGGACACGGACAGGACATGGTCAGGACTTCGCTCAACCCCCCCAAGAATAAACCATGATGACAGGGATAAGGAAAACAAAGGAGCTCGCACAAGTTATGGGACGTGAGAAAGCCTGAAATAATTGCAACTGAGCTGCAGAAAAATAATTATACTTCAGACTCGAGTCCGAGGGGGAAATAGAAGATTAGATACAGTACGTGACAAGCAGGGATATAATTTGGAAATTGCATTTATGTGTTTAACCTTAATTGGCTCACAAAGGCATAAACATGATCATAACTCCAAGACTACTTATCTTATGAACTTTTAGATAAAAACATAGAGATCTACAAATCCCATAATTATTACAAAACTTGAAAGATCTTCAAACTGTTATTAAGTCATAAATGTTTCAATGGTTTTTAACTTTAAAGCTCCCGCTTTGGCACAAGGGGCGTTTCCAATTCCCAAAAAAAAATAAGAAAAAGATAAACAACCCAAAATTGTATACGACCTCGACCTGACCCGCCAAGTCGGCAGCTTAAGAGATGCGTATTTATGGTTGCACTATCGTTAAATATTATACTCCGCCTTTTGGCATAAATCCCTGTCACCTTGACGGTTCCCATGATCTCGGGATGCGAAACAATTTTATTTTCGGACCTGGCTGCTTCTCATTTACGGAATTAAATGCCGCTTTTAAAGTCAAATGAAGGGTCTCCCAAAAAAAACCCCAAAATAGGGGAAAACACGAAAACGTTTTTGACTTGTGCCTAAGAGTGGCTGCGGCTATGGGTTGCTGATGTCTGCAACTTGATGTTGGCTGGTGGAAAGGTCAAGGATTATTATACTTCATCATAACTCTATTAAGCTCCAAAGTCCGCAGTGGCTGGCAATCTCCGGTTGGCTTACTGGCTGCCTGACTGCGCATTTGTTTGTATATTGTTATTATCTTTTTATGCGGCACACACGAGAGACTTGCAACAGTTGCAGTTTGACTTGCAACAGCAGCAGCACGGCAGCAACCGAAACAGTTAAATCCCCACATGAGGCCTCCTCCTGCCACTCTAAGCTCGACTCGATTCCACTCCACTCTCGCGGTGATAGTTTTGTCTTGAAGCATTATTTTTGTGGGAGTTTTGTTGTTTAGTTTTCTATTACATGAAATTAAGTAAAAGTCCCAAAACGAAAGCCGCCACCCGAATAAAAAAAAGACAAGACATGAAACGACATCAAGAGCAGCCAAAACCCAAACACCAAAAAGCCAAAAAGCGAAACTTCAAACTTCAGCCCCGAGGAGAAAATGACTTTCATACGCGCGACACGGCACAGGTCGGCGTGAGCATTTGATTTGATTATTAAAAGTTTTGCATTACTTCCGAGAAACCGAGACACCTTACAGCCCCCCGTCCATGGTATCTTAAAGACCCCATAGTCCCTTTTGATTTGATCGATGGAAAGCCTCCATATAGTAAGTAGGCTGTTGATGATTGTCTCTGGCATTTTTGTCTCGTGTCTAGCCATGATGCAGCAGTATAATTATAGTGAGGGCAGGGGGATGAGATGCAGAGAGAGAAATTTATATGAATTGGATTTTTAGAAGATATTTTTTGAAGATATAAGTCTATTTTTATAAGTTTGATTATAGAATTTTCTTAAAAAAAAGTCTATAAGCAACATAAACTTAAATACATCCCCTTGGCAGCTTCTGTTTCTTCTTCTGCAGCTTCTATTAATATATTTTTATAGTTTATAATAAAAGGAAAGTATATAGATTTTACAGTAAAAATTATAGCTAATACAAAAATAGAAAGAAAGAGCGCTTAAAAAATATATAAAAAGTTTAGCTAAAACATTCCTCGTTTAGTGCCAAGTATTTTCATAGTCTCTAAAAACCTATAATACATTTTTTCGAGTGTACCATGAGCGCCATCTGGCGGCTCGTGACAGTCCCGACCCCATCTCCAGCCAAAGCCCGTCACTGACGGGCCAGCAATGACGAGTTAATTTCTTCGCCTTCTCATGCATTAATTGAACCGCCCCGGGCGGAAGGTGTGCTTAGGCTTGGACTTTTTTCAGATGCATAGATGGTGGATTTTAGGTGGAGGAGATGGTTGGAAGATAGGCCTTCAGGTCTGGGGCCGGAGAGAGTCCATCCACCTTATATAAGAGACATTCCGAGGCCCTGGCGACATTCAAGCAACGAGGAGTGACCGACCGACCACAAGAAATGGCAATATCTGGACAATACCTGGGTGATCGTTCGACACCCTCCTATAAAGTCCCTTCCCTCCGTCCCATCAAACAAAAAGGTCAAATCGCTCAAACTGGATGATGTTCATTAGCGACACAGAAAGCCACAAAGCGTGAAACTCCGGCGGCTACATCGATCTCTGGTACTGGTACTGGGTCTTGGGACTGCGAGTGCTCTTTAGGTTTTGAATTCCCATTTCCCAACCGCCTCCATTGAGTTGAAGTTCCCGGGTTGCATTGTCCATGGAGTCCATGGGGTTTTGTTGTGACTCTCGACCCTTTTTGTCCGTGTTTACATCAAAAACGTGCCTCAAGTGTTCCTGTCACTGCACAAATTGGACATTTATTTGCTGCCCCAGTCACCACTTTAATCCGCCCTCCCTCCACTTATCTGTTTCTTTTCCTGCCATTTCTTACCATTTCTTACCACTTCCACGTAAACCTTTTGACCAGAACGTGTTAAGGATTTCGATTTTTGGTAGCTCCCCCAAAAAATAAATTCACATGAACTGCATTTACATCCGAGATACAATGAGGCAGCGGCTTTTTCGGTCTTTCGTGGCGCCACCCCATCTCTTTAATCTTTTTGTGTGGCTGTGCCACAGAGGCGTGGCAGCGATCCGCTTTGGCTAATTGATGGTTGCCAGCCATCAGGTTGCAGCCTCAGTTTTGGTTTCAGCGGCGCTGCCTGCACCGCCCACAGATGGATAGCTCTTTAAGCCCGGCTGCCACGCCAATTATGCCACTCACTGCTCTGCAATTTGTCAATTAGCTGATGAGATGCAGGCTCCCAATGGAAATCACTGAATGGGTCGACCCACTGAATTGATAGGGGCTATATAGTTGGGGTTTCCTACAAGGGATGCCAATTTTGGGGGCATTTACGAGATTAACTAGGGATGGATGTCTGCATCCGGCCTGGAGTACATTATTTGGCTTTGAAACCTTTGACCTAACCTCCTCTCGTCTCTTACTTACAGAACTTCCTGGCTGCCAATGCACAATGCTGGTGGAACGGACCTCTGACAGCCGCCACTCGTGCCCTCAAATATGCTGGACATGTTGCTCCTGGAATGCTACTGGTTACGGCAGAGCCCTGCGCCCTGGAAGTCCTACGAGGCGCCTTCGCCCGGAGTGTCCTGAAACCGCCGGCCACCTATGTGATCAGCTCAGTGGGTAAGTTTCAATCCGAAATATAGCAAACTTAGGGATAGGCTTCTAGTTCTAGTTTTTGGGAGGGAAAATGTACAAAATTTCTGGGTTGTAAGGTAAGACTGGGAGGAGGAGAATGGCTGGCCGATCGGATGAGGACTGCGAACCTAATTCGCGTAGCCTGAAGCAGCGCGAGTTGGCGACCCGACGGATACTGTTCTGGTCGCAGCGTCTGCTGCTGTCACCACTGGAGGTGGAGAACATGACCCAAGAGGAGCTCAACCACCAGCTCCAGGTAGTCAAGAAAAAAGAGAAGGCCCTGGAGGAGCGCCAAGCCGACTTCGAGCGGTGGAAGCAGCTCCAGCAGCTGCGGTTCCTCATGTACGAGGAGCAGCGGAAGTACAACCTCAGAAACAAGGGGTCGGGTCAGGCCTCCATCTGGTCCATCTTGGCGATGGCTCAGCGGGAGCTAGAGGGCAAGCTGAAGATCGATAGCCTGCGAGGCAGCTGTCAGCGATTTCCATCGCCCATGAGTCTAATGGCCCACGGTCGCCAAACGGGTGGCAGAAATCCTCTAGAGCCATTGAGATCCTTCCTGAGTGGCTGTCCCTCGCGCCAAGACTTGGGGGATGGTTTCGGTCTAGAGTCGGAAGAGGAGCTGAAACTGAAAGAGACGAAGCCCGCCAAGGTGACAAACCTCCAGGTCAACGAAAGTGTCCAAACACTGATGCCCCCTAATCTGATGGACAAGTCCTCGCAAACTCGCTACACCTACAAGGACTCCTTTTATAGGAAACCAATTCTGCTCGGTTCCCAGGCGAACTACAATCTCCATGCCAAAAGTGTGGACTCCTCGGAGGGCATCCGTCAAACACTTCTCTATTGTCCTGTTTGCGCCAAAAAGCACCTCCAAGTGCCGCCAAGATTTTGAGGGCATTTTCCTTGGAGAGTTCTCAGAAGAATGTGCTTTTCCTTAAAAAATTTAATAATATTGGGAATATTTTATATGTGTTATCTTATAGTTTGGGATTGGCTTTAAACTTGGCTTTAATTTTTTTTAGGGTACTATTGTTTCGGGAGCTCTTTTAATCGCTATTTTATGAAGCCTCTTCGAGTTGTAGTTATTATAGACTTGGAGTACTTTTAATCCCTATTATTTAGAGTCTCTTGGAATTGCAGTTATTATATATACAAGGTCTATATAGATAGCCCATATATAGACCCAATATTTTGTGTTTTCGGTGTAATCGATGGGACGTGCACTTCATCAAATATTGATGTGTCTGGCCTCGGCGGTCGGCGGGTCTATCGTTTTTGGTCACTGGTCTCCTCGGTGCCTCGTTAGCTGTCAATTAAGTGGACACCTGTGCAGTTAATACGCGGCTGCCCCTGCTGTACCACCACCCTGTTCCACCTTGTCCCTCCATCATTTCCACTGCCACCTTTTCCCCTTTTCTTTTTCACACTTCCACTTGGGAAGCGGGGGCCTGGCCGGCCAGTCCATGAATTGATAAATGACCGACCAGGCGGAGATCGTTGAGGTTGTGGAAACGGACGGCCTTTGGCGAACTTTTTTCTCTTTTTTATCTGAAAATTAATAAGCTACGATTTGTGGCCACCACTCGTGGCAATATATATTATTTTCTCTGGCACTGCGCTCTCCATTCCATGTGGAATTCAATTGAGGAAATATCGCTGACCAAACAAAGAGCTCTCAGTCTCAGTTCCAGGCAGACAGACAAGGCAGACTCGAATGCAGACTGCCAGTTGCAACTGCAGAAGTACAGAATCCATGAGTGTGTGGCCAAAATGCAGAATGCACTTTGTGTTTGCCAATTAACAGCTGCAATGGCGTAGAACCCATTAACTGTTAATTACCATAAACATGACAATTCCATTTGCCAACAAGACAGGACGCATAATGCCACAATAGATACTCTAACGGATGGTTTTTTTTAGGTCTAAGAATGGGGGTTAACTAATGGTTTATGATGGGGTTTGTTTTAAATACTTTAGGCCTCTTTATGACTTAAATAGAAACTATCATAGTTATCGATTGTTATAATTACTTGAATTTGAATATAGACTTTTTTTAGACACAGATGTTTTAAAGGCCTAAGGAGTAGGGTTTTATATGGGCTATAGATAGGAAATAATTATAAGAAATAATAAGAACAGATAAGAAATAATCAATCATAAATATTGAAGTTAATCGAGAATGTCTGATAATATTGGCTTATAAGCCCCTACTAAGAGTTTTAAGTTTAAAATAAAGAAGCTTACATTATAAATAATAAATGTCTTCTTACATTATAAATAAAGAAGCTTATATTAATATTTGGCCTTCTAGGCCCTAAAGAGCAGCTCTGCAGCTCAATATATAGCTTGATAATTATCGATTAAGTTAATAATTTAAATTGAAATTTAAACTCTTGTTAAAAGTATGTGATTTTTGAAAATGGCTGAAAATGGAGTCTAAGATGTCTTATAGATAGGTTATAGATAGCTTATAGATAGGGTTGGTAGAAAATTAGCCAAAATGCAATAGAAACTAATCACAAAAATAGTTAAAAATTTATTTAATCGACATCTAATATAGGGCTAAGGGTTTAAACTTTAAAGTTTTAAATAAAAAAGCCTACAATCCTTGTTATTAGCCATTTTCAACCTTAAATAACAGCTCTCATAAACATGGACATTAATATAAATTTTCTGCTTTTAAACGCTCTTCAACTATTATTTATGAATCGATTACTTTGCCGCAAAAGCCTCTGTCTGGGCAATATTTCATCATTAAGCGGACTTTCGACATTCTGTCATTTTGAATAATAATAATTTTGCAGACTGTCGGCATGGGAATTGGCAATATGCATTAAATTCAAGTGTAAACATTGCCATTTACAGCCATTTCACAGCCTTTCGAAAATGCATAACCAACTGTCGAGTTTTGACGCAAGTCACCGATAATACTTTAGTGCTTTCTTTTTGCCAATAAAGTCTGTGACAAATCTATTTCGTTTTTCAAAAAATAAAATACAAATAGAATGGGTCATAAGTCCGTTGGCTGTTGCGAATTGTTGGCAACTTAATCGAATTGCATTTAACGGTGGGGTGTTGCAAACTGGGAAATAAAAGCAACTCTTGCAACAAAAGCAACAAAACATATAACAAATAACACATTGCATGCAAAAACAATCAATCAACGGCAATTTCTCGCTCAATTAGACAACAAACATGCCAAATAAATGAAAAGATAAAGTATGCGAATTGCAGAAACTGAAAAAGCAAATTAAATTCAGTTTCGTGCTAAAGAGCCAACATAGATTGCAGCTTTTTTCAATGGTGGGTGGTGGGATGGATGCAGGAAAAATCAGAGGAAAATGCCGAAGCTTGCCGCTTTGCCAATTTGACAGTGGAAGCGCCAGAGAAGCGCCATCATGGTAGACAAATGGCAAATGCAAAATAGCTGGAAAGCGAGAAAATTATGCAGTTTTCCAGATAGAGCGAGAGCTGGCCGCAAATCAATTTCATCACGATTTCTCGTCTCCGGCTTGGGCTTTTGCTTTTGCCTGAAAGTGAAATGTGGCCATGACAGTCGGTGGTGAGATGAGGCCTCCATCGATGGACGTCCGTCAGATAATTGTAACTTAATATTCGAGCCATTAACAAATCGTTAATCGGTAGAAATCAGCCAAGTCAACAGCAGCCAGCAGCAGCAACAGTCTGTCGGAGTACAAGTTGCGAAAATCAAGTTTCTGACAAATATTGTCGTTGTTGCAACATGCAAATGCGAAAATAGCAACCTTTGGTTATTTTAAGATTTTTTTATGGTTATTGGTAGTTAAACAAAACAAAATAAATATAATGAAACAAATATTTAAAATGATGGGAGCTTAAAATAGACTTGGCCTTGTAGGTAGTCTCAAGATTCTTTTTTTTTTTAATTACCAAGCTAAATGAATAGAACTTAGAAGAAAATTTTAAAATAGATCCTTAAGTCTTACACAGATCTTATAACCTGGATATAGTTACTTAGACTTAAGGACACAGGGACTGGTAATATTTTTTACAAGCTTTCAAGGCTTTAAATTAAAATGAAAGAGTAAAAAAATGTAGACATGGATAATTTATACTTCCAGACACTTTTTAGGTTTTTTAGGCCTTAAATTTAAAGGTTTCTCATACTAGGTTCTCACCACACCGTTAAGCTTTTCGGCCAATTTCTTGAAAGGTTAACAAACCTTAAAGGTTTCCCAAGGGGGTTTGAAAGAAATTCTCTAAAGCGTAACCAAGCTTGCCAAAAAAAAAGACTGATACAAGAGTCATTGTCATTGGAAGTTGTCTTTTGCAAGTTCATCACCATCATCATGGTCGCTTGAGCAGCACCAGCACCTCCTCCTCCTCACCCCTGACACCACCGACACCGCTGACGCCCCCAACACCCCCACCACACACCCTTTCAAGCGATTATTGTAATTTTATTGTTCTCCTTCTCGGCTTAATTCTTTTGCCCACACTGATTGCCATTTTCCAGCCGTCTTCCCATTCGGTTAATGAGGTCAACCCATTTGATTTGAGCTCTTGGTTTCGCTTCACAGATTTGTACCCCCTACCTCGCTGGCCGAGAAAGTGTTCTCTGGAAAAGCTCCATCCCCAGCTATCCATTGTGATGTAGTTACTTTCTGAGGAGACAACTCCACGCACCAAAAATGGCTGGCAATTTAGCCAAATCCGACACGATTCTATGGCCGCTTAGACATTATCCCATCATCATCATGGGTTGCACAACAAGGAGGCATAAGCTGTTGGCAGGCTCCCAGGTTCAGGTCCACTAACCCCAGACTCATTGACCTTTAACACAGCAAAACATAGGCAGCTCCGGCAGTCGAGCAGCAAAAAGTGTCGCCAACAATTTTTTTGTTTTTTTTTTTTGTATAGTATCTTGGCCACGTCGTGTTGCTCCTTATTTGCCAGGCTAAGACTAAGAAAAAGCTAGTGGCCCAATGTCCGACTGTCTGGCATTTTTAGTTGGTGTTGCAACCACGTAAATGTCAATTTGCATTTCGTGAGGCGTTGCATAAACAGCAGCAGTGGCAGTGGCAGTACTGCGGCCGCCTCCTGCCTCCTCCTGCCACCTCCTGCCACCTCCTTGTTTTCAATTTGTTACTGATCTGAAATATTTTTATTAACAGACGGAAACAATTAGCGTCGCCTCGTCGAACGCAACAAGCGCCAGGGCAGCTCTCCACCGATTTTCACCGATCTGCGTGGCCTTTTCCACCCCCACCCCCACTCCCGCCCATTTCCCGATCCCCCTCGCCCTGAAGCCAGGAACCTGGAGAGCTGGAAAGAAAAACCAAAAATGGGAAATTGAAAACGCGCAGAAAAAAAAAAACGTTTTAGACACAAAATCGTGATTGCCTTCGTTTGGCCGCCAGACATTTTTTTTTTGTATAGTGCTCTATATGTGGCAAGGGGATGTGGAAATAAATGGAAGAGAGTGATCAGGGGGCGGGGTGAAGTGGGCCAGGAGGTGGCAGGTCGAGCTTCTTATGTAAAAAGTGCATTCCGGGCAGAAAACGACAAAAAAATGGAATCAAAGTGATGGAAGAAATTTTTCAAAGAAACTACTTAGTTTCTAACTTGACTTAGTCGCTTTTATTTTCCCTAAAAACTGTTTATATTTATCGTCAAATAAATATTTAAATAAATATCTATAAATTATTCCAGTACTTCCCTTTTATTTTATATTGGTAGCCAAGTTTACTGAACCTAGATTTATGAGTTTCTTTGCGATTAAATCTCAATAAAAGCGATTTAACTAACTACCTACCGAGTTTCAGCCGAAAGCCATGACTTCTCTGGTTCATTTCTTTTTTTTTAAGAAATCCGACTCCCCCATCCGGCGGTAAACTGATTGATTAATTGCCA